TCTTTCTCTTTTACTCCGACGAAGGACTAGCGTCCGAAACGTCAGTAAGTTTTTTCATCTTTTCACGGTGTATAATTTACCTTTTCATCATTACTGTTACAAAATGAATAACGCAGGGATCCCAACGAATATATATTCATGAAACTGATCTTCCTGATCAATACAAGGCTTTATAATTAGCAAGGACTTGCTACTGGCAGCCATGTAGTATAGAATACCCTGCAAGTGATAAGCAGTTGTTTGAACTATGTAGAACGGGCCAAAGGACAATATATTAAAGTCAGTTATTATGATTTGCAAGGTGTTTTGTAGTTATATGGAAATGACAACTCTTGCTGAAGATGATTATTACTGATCTTACAGGCAGAACAAGCTTATTTTACCTCCATTTTCTGCTTTGGTAGCTTCAAGTTCATCAACATCTTCTTCAGCAGGTTCTATCAAGTGCAACTTATCGCCTTTAACCTCAAACACAGAACCAAAGGGACGATCTATAGCGTTGTCTATGAGGAAACGAAGCCTTTCAAATAATATTTTTCTACAGCAAAAAAAAAAAAAAAAGAAGAAAAAACAAGCTTGAAAATTACGTTTAATTGTAGTTCTAATTTTGTCCCATTTGTCTGACCTTGTCTGATGAACTGTAGCTTAGTGGAAATCAAGGTAATTAAAGTTATCTCTCTTCCTACCTATTTTTGCGCACTTGAACTACTTTAAGAGCTTTATCTATCCTCAGAACAACTTGATCTCCTTCCTGTATTAAAGATTTTGAGTCACTTCCTTGACATGCTTCTTGTTCGGCCGCCATTTTGAAAACAAATGGATGAGTAGGACTGGGGATAAAGATTCTGTGATCRTAACATAATTTCCATCTCAATACCGCTAGACAAGATTTATGCATTGCAGGCGCATACATGACGTCATCTCATGAAAAAACATGGCGGTCGAAAGGAAGAAACGGAAAAAATATTCCTTCGAAAACCAGGAAATTTCCCGACTTTATATCCACATACAACGCTTTAAAATGTTATAGATAAGTTGCCAGAGCAATAGAGTTGCTTTGAAAATTGCCATAACGATGGGTTCCCAAACGCTGGAGATTTTACGCCAGGGTGTTTGGGCATCGCTGACAGGAGGATGGTTTTTCGATCCTCATCAGGAGATTTTCACCAATACGTTCCACTTTTATTTATGGATTATTTTACTCTGTCTTCCCTTTTCTTTATACCTGGTGAGTACTTGAAGCAATAGTTTTTAGTATTGTTATTTTGAGAGGCGCTTAAAGCCGCTGTACCTGTTGAGATAATGTAGTGTTTAGCAAATTAAGAAATGTTGTTTACGAAGACATTAATTATCTAACTTTATTTTATCTTTGATATTTTAATTTAGGGAGCACCTCCTTCGAATTTAGTTTGGGCTTTGTATGCTGCCTTCGTTGGGATTCTTTTCGCTGTTATTAAATTCTTAAACTATCGTCTTCACCTTATGTTTGACGGGGAGGAGTTTCACTCTGAGGATGACCAGCGTGAAGACTCGAATTCTACGCGAGGAATTAGCAGGGCAGAAAGCGTCAGAGACAGTGTCAGACAGGCTTCAGTGACTGTCCGCCGGGAGGATAGTGGATTAAGTCATGTCCAGGGGGGTGAAGTGATCGAGATGGAGGTGATTAATCAATCTGCATCTGCTGATTGTAATGGAAGCCATGAACCAGAGCCTAACATATCTCAACATGCCTTGTCAACTTCATTAGCCTCTTCTCTACTTAACCAATTACAGCCTTTGGAGAATAATACTGAACAGGTCTACCATAGCAGTAGGCTTAGAGTGCTTATCTGGTTTCTGCGACCCTGGCATTTTCCAGATGTAAACTCATTTGGCTTTCAAAATTTACAAACTCAGTTCATTCTAAATTTGCATCTTAAAAAAAATCTTCAAATTTTTATAGATACCCTGAAAAAGCCTCTGGGCTGATCAAATTCAGGGAACAGTTAATTGATAGAGTTGCAGAGGGAGAAAAATCTGAAAACTTGAAAAAAAATTGAATCAATTGAGAGAACTAACTAACTCTACTCACGTGATGCTGATTTTGGAAATCTAACCCAAGACCCCTGATAGTATCAATACCTTGGTTTCCTTGATTTGATTGGAAGCAGGGCCAAAATATGAGAAAAATACCAAGTTTGGAGTTGTCGGGGTTACAGATACATGACAAGCTGTTTGTGATTGAACTGTGCAGTTCTGGTTATATCTTCTGATTATTTAGAATATTTAGATTGCTGGGCATAGTATGAACCCAAACAAATTCATATGAAAATCTGTGGATAATAGTATGTAAATACATTAAAAGAGAATCCAGACCGATTTTCTTTGAAAGCCAGCACTGTACAGTTATGCTAATATAATAATTTCCCATTTTTATAATGCCATGTCATCAATTTATAATCATAATCATCGAAGCTGTGCTGATTTCTTGCCGGTAGTGAATTCGCAGTCATCATTTGGTATTAGAGACCTGTGGCATTGACAGTGGGGATGTGAAACCAATGATGTGAGCACTGTCATCCTTGGCATTGCTGTTCTCTCTAGAATGCTACAAAGCACCAACTGACATTCTAGTGTCGTTGCATGCAAGAAAAACCTTTTTGAAATGYCCTCACATCATTTTCTTGAGTCACCGTCCTCAATGCATAAGGTTCCTAATAATTTCCTTACAAACAATTACTGATATCTTTCAAAATCTACTTACAGTAGTTTATTCAGATGACTAATTATTTATGCTGTTAATCATGACTTGCTCTAACTTACTTTATTAACCGATCTTTTTTATTATTATTAACCTAAATGATAGTAGGTTTTACCATTTACTAACGTGCTGTATCTGTTGTTTGTTTACAGGATAGTGGTGATCAATCTAACAAAATAACAGGTAAAACAGCCATAATGTATTAATTATTGCTTTAAGGGTAGCCAATTGCCCCAAAGGTCATTTTCCTGAGTTGCAAACAAAGTGCATTGTGGTCTGGCTTGGGTATAAACCTATTTTGTTCATCATGTTCTACTAATCTTCCCAGTAGACTGAGGCAGTTGCAAATTTTTTATGGCCTTGGTAGCGTCTGTTATATTAACCGCAAGTACATGCATTTCAAATCRTCCACGTGATGCCAATGTTGTACCACGTGGGCAAGGTTTTTATACTAGGTGATCAAAACTTGACTGAATTTTGAATACGTGGTGTAAAAAACTTGTTCACGTGGTACAACATTGGCATCACGTGGTTRATTTGAAATGTACTTCTGGATAACATAACAATCGCTACGAAGGCAATAAAAAAATCACAACTGCCTCAGTCTACTGGGAAGAGTAGTAGTTGTTGTTGTTAATACCCWTCGTGATCCAAGAAGCACCTTGTTTATTAAATCTAAATAAAGTCTAAAGGTTGAGTCAAGGTTTGGTAAGAAAGACATTCATTTTGATGCTAATACTGCCAGCCATTTTAACAATAGGTTTCGTTACTTATAAATCACATGATCCAATATATTGCTGGTCTAAAAGTTTTTTTTGAAATTTTTATGACCAAAATCAGATATTGTGCCTTCACACCTTTAAGGGTCGAAGGCAGATTACAACTTTGCTTCAGAACATGCAGCTGTGAGCTCTTTTCTTGCATTAAAAGAGCTGAATTATTGCTATTGATAAATAGATTTTTAAGGATTTGTCTTTTAATTGGCCCCAATAATTCATTAAAATCATTTGGATCTTAAAAAATTCTAGAAGATGTTGAAGAAAAAAGAAAACCTGTTCGTGTCAAAGAGGTAAGGTTTACTCATTTTATTTGATAGAATAATAATATATCGAATAATCAGTTTTAGTAAAAATATGCAGGTGATTATAGAAAATCTTGCACGCTTATTGGTCAAGAAACTCACACTATCACACGATAATCACCTCTAGCGAAAACCCAAAATGGCAACCGGAAAAAATTCCTTTTATTTTCTTTATTTTCTTTTTTTGAAAGAATCACCTGTGTATTTATACTAAAACATTATTATTTGCCTCAGGCGAAGTGATTATTGGGGAAGATTAACCTTACCGTTCGAAGACTCGCGTCTCGGTAAATATTCCCCGATAATCACTTCGCCTTTGGCGAATAATTGTTAAATAATATTTCATGTATATTTATTAATTTTTTTCTGAGCTTTCGGATCTTAGATCCATCATCACCTACATGTAACAAAGCAAACTTAAACTTAAAAGTATAATTATATTCTTCACCACTTTGTGTATTGTGGGAATTGAGATAAATGAGATACAAAGCTGATATTTGGATTATATAACATTTTAGATCAGTTTTGCATTGGAGGCACCAACAAGTGATGACTCTGACGACAGCAGCAGTCAAAGGTTGTTACTGTAATTACATTATAAAATTAATGATAGTATAGCATCTACAGTATAGGCACTTTGAGCTTGGGTATAATAATGTTTTCCATTTCAGACCACATGTCATTCTCTTGAGAATAGGATTCTTTGTTTGAGTTGTATCCATATTCATGTGCTGTTTATCTCTTTCAAACAGCCCAAGTGGTAAAATGAAATCCCAAGCAACAAACACCACAAAAGGTGAGTTAACTATGCAATTTTGACACAATAATAGGCCTTTACTTTGTGCATCAAAATTCAAACAAGCAAGACAGCAAAATGCTCACTGATTTTCTGTTTGGCTTGTAGAGAAGATATTTAATTGCAATTATTATTTTTTTGRTAGGTGACCTTATTCTTATTCTATCCTGAATCATTATCAATTGTTTTTACGTTATATCTTCTGCAAGTTTAAGGAAGTGTCAGTCAAATGGTATATTTTTGCTTGCAATTTTCAAACCCACAAGTTTTAATTATTTTTTGATTTTAAAAATGAATTATTAGAGCAAAGACATCAAAGAGAGCTGCGCTTGAATAAGCATAGCATTCATTCATGAAAATGYAGCAAATTACATTTAAAACATGTTTATTTTGTTGTTGCTTGTTATCATTTACAAGCTACCCCTGTAACCCATTACCRTTACTACTGTTATGATTCTTGAAAAGCACTACCCTCAAAATAATGAATGTAACCCCCCGAATAAGCATCACAATCAAAACCCTTAAAAATTTAAAGAGTGTTGCAGTAGTTTTATATTATTACAGTACAATACAATACAATCTTTATTTAGAGAGGGTGACACTTAACAGTACATAAAAATAACTGATCAACTAGTGGCCCTATGTGATATGTATCTGTATCTATGTGATATTTATGGCAGTATGTGATATGTATCTTCAGAAAAGGACACACCTATAAAGGATGATCGCAGCCAGTTTGAGAGCATGACAAGTTTTAAGAGTGAACAATCACAGGAACCTGGACAAACTTGCTCAGATCAGATACTTAACTCTGAAAGTAAAGGAGAATTGTCAGGTAGGGTCACATTTTTCCTCACATTTTTCAACAACAAAAAAAACCCCTGAGTTCACCAAATTAAAATAGATGTACAGGCTTAGAATGACAGCTGGTCATCAGGCGATGTCATGCCAGAATAGATATACCGGCTGGGTCAGTTATCAATTTTTTTCACAGACATAAAAATTGATAAAAATCGTCTGGCCAGAAATGGAACTTGTCTGGCCAATTTTTTGCTTTGCTGGTCATTTTCACCAGTAATGTTGATCCAAAAATGCCCTGATGTATATATGCAGCTCTTGTGGGGTATTACCAAACCAATATTTGTATTATATTATCTACAGGTACACTCAGTAGCCTGTCATCCTATCCTATTCCAACAATGGAGAATACAATCTTCGAGGCAAGATCTGCACCTGGTTTGGCTGTGACTGACATTTGGGAGCCTAATGTTTCTTCGCCCAAGAGTGAGGGTTCTGCCATCAGTATATCAAGTAATCCTTGTACAACTCTAGAAGCAGTAGCGGCTGCCCTTGAAAACTTTGATCATACAAGAAAACCAAAAATATCAGAATCTAGTCCAGAATTCAAAGATGAGGTTGTACAAACATCAACGTCTGGGATGGATTCATTTTCTAAAGAAAATGCAGATCAAGAAGCTGGCTCAGCATCAAGACGAGAATTACATAGAGAATCGGGCCAACATCGACCAAGATCAATTTCTGACATCATGAGGGAGAGTAAGCAAGAAAATAAGGAGACAAGTGGATCTGGTGTAGAATCAGGTAGAGATAGTCCAGCTCCACTTGACGTATCGTCATTGCATGACAGTTGTAAGCTGCACAATCCTTCAATGAGCTCCCAGCCAGAATCACTGGATAGCACAAGTGTCTGTATAGCAGTGAATAACAAAGACACAGCATCAACAGCAACACAGACAGGAAGTCTATGTGAAGCAGAAGGCTCAGGGCGTGAGGGTTCAGATCTGGTTCTTGCAAGGCGTTCATCTCAGTTGGCCAGGAGAAGACGACGCCTTCAAAGGCATTCTGTAAGACGTAGAAGGAGAACCGATTCTGGACCAGGCACTGGTCCATTTGCTGAAGTGCTGTTGCAAGCAATGGATACTGCACCCCAGTCTGCTCATGTCGCTGCTTCTTATAACGACACTACTCCAGGTGCATTGCATTGTTATCAGGATGAGTTTGGTAAGAAATAGGCCTTTGTTTTCATGAGACCAGATTGCATCATTTGGGTACACTATGTGTGTGGCATATAATGTACTGTGGGTGTTTCTCACTAGTTCAAATCTACATGTAGGGTCACTGGAGTGATGTGATTTGAGCTCAGTTCAATAGACCTGTTCCTTGATTACAGACTCATTTACTCAGGGTTAGCCTTGTTTCAGTGTCTAAATATTCACAAATACCAGCGGTAACGTAAAGAATGCTCAACTTCAACAATACAAACACTTCTAAATTCCACAGACTTTCACTGGAACACATGAATATTCTACACAAAATCTAGGCTTACCCTGAGCAACAGAGAGCTCAAAATCTTAGTATCGATAAGAGTTTTTTTTATAATTATTTACAACATTTGATGGTTTTTAGTTTGGGGTACACATATAATTTTAATCTTTATTTTTAGGGTTACCATAGTAACTGTTGCTATGTTTACCTCTGTTTACTTCCAGGCCAATGGCAAACCTACATATTTGAGGGGGATGGCCCAGCATCTACGTCCCTTGTACCTGTATCACGCTCATCCAGTCGCAGAGAGCGGGGCTCCAACTGGTAGGTCCAGTAACTGACATATTGTACAACAATAACATGCTGCGCTGTGTTCATGCAAGCCTTCTGATTGGGTAATCAGTGATTTGTAATGGTCTGATATAGTGCAGTTTTCGTATTACTGTGAAAAATTTACGGCATGAACACGGCCACAACACGGCAGGGGATACGCCAGACCAATCACTTTGCACGAGAATTTACTCTCCATCCAATCAAACACCCGGAACACGACATAAACATGTCACGGCAATGCCAGACCAATCACATTACGCGTGAAAAAAATTAGCCAATTAAAATTCCAGAAAGCATCACGGTCACGGCACGTCACGCTTATGGCACTGAGCTTTTCACAGTCATACAAAAACTGCACTATAAGATATATTACAATAATATATAAAAGACATAACTCTTTCATTCTAGGGAAACAAGCAGTTCCTCTTCTACATTTGTAATGGAACATTCAATGGAAGTCTATGATGACTTGCACCACGTAGACCTTCAGAGAGAAATATCCCAACGACGTTGGCATGACACTTTGTCATCTTCAAGCATTCCCATTGCCAGACCCTCTTCTGTTACACCGGTGGAGAAGTCTTCTGTACCGCATTACTTCAAGTTTCAAATTATACCAAATAAGTTTATAAAGATTAAGTTTGACAGGTTGTCACTGCTTGCACTTATGGACAGGTAGGTTGATTTTCTTCATTATCACTCCAGCCGCCCCCCCCCCCCCCCCCCCCCCCCCCCCCCCCCCCCCCCCCCCCCCCCCCTCTTCTCACCAATAACTTTGTTATTATTTTTTCCNATGGACAGGTAGGTTGATTTTCTTCATTATCACTTCTGCCGCCCCCCCCCCCCCCCCCCCCCCCCCCCCTCGGTTCTCATCATTTCCTTCATCTTCTCACCAATAACTTTGTTATTATTTTTTCCATTTACTAAGCAGACAGTCATCACCATTTCAAACATGTTTATTTGAGTTTATTTATTCAATAGTCCTATCCCGAATTCGCTTGACTGGTCACGAAACAATGGTTTCAAGTCGAGGTTGAACTTGATGAATAAAAGAATCAAGTTCAATCTYGACTTCAAACCATCGTTTCGTGGTYGGTCAAGCGAATTCAGGATAGTTCTATTGACATGCATGTTACAATATGTACATATTAATCATTTATTATTCATTTAAACATTTTTAAAGGAACAAGTCCAAATTTGAAGCATTAGCATCAGTGATCTTAGCAGTGTTAGTAGCAGTTCTTGGTTACTGGTTACTTGTCAAAGACTTCTTCAAAGATTTCCGGATCTTTCTATTTTGTTTTATTATTGCCAGCTGTCAGTTTTCTCTTCTGAAGGTGTGTTTGACTCTTTGAATTATCTTTTTCTAAACATTGAATCAGGGCTAAAAATAATGACTGCGCATGTTGGACTGATCAACATGTGTGTTACAAGTCAACATGCCAATTTTGGGCATAAATTGTCTGTTGACCAGCGATCATCAGTAGTACTATTGATTGCCCAGATAATTTTTTTTGGATGAAGAATATTGATCACAACACTTTCATCAATTTCTCATATTTTCTTCTCATTTTGTAGAGTGTTCAACCAGATGCTGCTTCACCTACTCATGTGAGTACTATTATAATGTTAATGCRCTTGGCACAAGGACCCTCAAGAGCACCCTTAAATGTGTGTGATTTTCTGTATTTGAAATATAGTAGATTAGTACGCATGACACTAAAAATTGGGGGTCAAGGGCTGAGATACTGTAAGCAAATGTGGGAAGATTAAAGCCCTCCCCCAGCCTTGCCTCCCTTATCTCTGCAGTCTCTATACCAGATATAATATATGTTGCTTATTATCTCTAGGGTCACAATCACATCGTAGTGTTTAGTCGTCCTGTGTATTTTGTATGTTTGGCCACCATAGTCCTTATCCTGGATACAGTGATGCAAACCCCAGTGTACTGTCTAACATTGTATAGTCTACCTTTGTGCACCAACTCCATCTTGATCTACACAAGAGACTTTCTCATTGGTAGGTATAAATACTCACTATAAATAGTTTCAGTACTGTAAAATGTTATGAAGAGGTCCAATACACCCTCCCCACCTCAGAAAGTAAGAGTTAATTACTGAGAACAGAGGCAATAAGCCATATACATCCTGAGGGCCGTATTAAGTATTTTATTTATCAATTGAGAAGGTTTTCTATCAAATGTTGCTCATTATAAATGCGAACGGTCTATATATAGTTATTAACCGGGTTAATAACTATATATTGACCTCGCATTTATAATGAGGGTTATAACAAAAATAAAGCCTTGTGGATAACAAAGAAAACCGTGTCAATTGAGAAATAATGTCCAATAGCTCCTCCCTACCCCAAAGAGACACAATACCCCCACCCCACCCTTAAGAGGTCCAATATGCCCTCCCCACCCCAGAAATGTCCAATATCCCCTCCTCACTCCAAGGAGACCAGTTACCCCACCTCACCCTTAATGGTTCCAATATGCCCTCCCCACCCCTGTAAGGTCCGTTATCCCTTCCCCACCCCAAAGGGACCCGATACCCCCACCCCACCCTGAAGACATCCAATAAACTCTCCCCACCCCAGAAAGATCTGTTATCCCTTACCCACCTAACCCCAAAAAGCTCTTATGTTCCCTTCCCACCATGGAGAGGTTCAATATCCCTTCCCCACCCCAAAGAGACCCAACCCGCCCCCTCCACACCCCACCACACAAAGCTTTTATACCCCCTTCCTAGTTCCAATATCCCCTCTCTAATATAGCTATGATATCTTTTTTGAATCGTGACAGTTCATAATAGGTGTATACACTTTTTCAGCTTTTATTCTTGGATTCCCTTTGCTGTTCCTGATTGGTCTGCTGCCACAAGTTAATACCTTTGCTATGTACCTGCTGGAACAGATTGACATGCATGTATTTGGAGGAAATGGTAAGGACGGCACGGGTTAGGTAAAATGGAAAAAAACACCAATGCAATGAAATGGGAATGGCGTGGAATGGAATGGAATTGGCTGAAGTGGAAACTAACAAGGGACTGGGACGGTTTTATTCTCATTAGCAATGATGTTTTTTTTATCTGAGAAAAAAAATCTCAAAATTACTAAGTATGGCAAATTTAAACGTGTTTTGAGGAAGACAAAGTAAATCCTTCAAAAATTTTAAACACTGGGGGACAAGACTTTCACCAAGGTTTATTCACTATTAGGAAAAGTAAAAGAAAGCCTTCTGCTGGTAGACCATAACAGTGTCTTGTTTGAAAATGTTTACAACAATTTTTTCAGCTATGACAAGCCTTAGAGGGTCTGTGGTCAGTGTTCTACGAAGTATTTTTGCTACAGCTGTCTTGTATGGCTTCTGTTATGGAGCCATGTCGGTGAGTATCTATTACAAATACTTATAGTTAAGATACCATATTATGAATTCGTGCAAAGGGTAAAATGTTACCTATGAGATTTTGCTCAGCCGTGCTATCTATTGTTACTGATTTCAGAACGAAACTTTGGGATCACAGCACATCTTGTTCTCTATATTCAGCGGACTTCTTGTAGCTATATCATATCATCTCAGTCGGACTGCAACAGATCCCACAGTATTAGTGTGAGTAGAGCTTTAATATTTCGATTATTGACAATTAGAATTTTCTCTCTTTGCTTAAAACCTGAGTGGTTAAAGGAAKGGCCATCATCTGGACTACAGCAAAGGTTGTTTAGTTGCCGACTCCATATATAGGATAGAACGTCATGGATGAACACAAATAGTGTATCCTTGCTTCCATATATTTGCGTAGGTTCCTTGGTTTACTATCCAGGAATTCACCTACATTTACTATGGTTTCCCTTCATTGGCCTGTCTTACTATCAAATGGTAAAATGTTGAAAATAATCGCTTAATTTTCACGTTTCCTTGTAAATCTTAAGCTTATTTACTATTTAAGTATTTTTAYTCAGGCCAACAATGCACTGTGCCTAAATTGTAAATTAAAAAAAATTATTTAGTTTCATTTATTTATTAGATTATTCCCTCTCTTTACTGTTAGTTATCTTCCATTATTTCTCTTCTTCTTTCAGCTCTTTGTTGCGCTCATCATGTCTGGAGAATAATTCCTTCACTCCAGAAGTTGACTTCGTGGATCCTTTACCTGAAAAACTGAAACGAACAGTGGTAAGTGTAGAAGAGTGCCGCGATTATCCTCGTATTGAACTGCCTTACAACCCAAGAACCCTGTGTATGTATGAGTAAGATCTGCTCAACAATCACCCTTGTATTTACATGTTTTCTCTTTCCCGCAGACCAAAAGGCTTCAGAATGATCTTGTGTGCAGTATATTCATATTGATATTTGTGTTTGCCATTCATGTCAGCACTGTCTTTACTACTCTTCAGGTAATGTTGCAGTCGTAGTTGTAACAATATATTTTACTTTCTTGGTGTCTTGTTCGTTCTTGTTGTTATACCTTCCTTTGCTTATTCAGTCCAAATGGTTTGATGATTTGGGTTTTTTTTAATGGCCCCCGGAGGCTTCTCATTGAACTAATGAAAGAGTTGTTATGGAGTGTGTAAGTAATAAGATCGCAAAACCCAGAGCAAGTTGTAGTTGTATAGTTTTCCATGTGCGCGTACATATAGCGTAAGTGATTTGAGTGTTGTGTAATGTAAACATTGGACGTAGTGGTAGAGTGTGTGGAGTGAATCTCACCGAAGAATATACTCAGTTTGGCCACACTTATCTCTATTTACCACATATTGATCGGCAATTGCTAACGGACCATTTTCTCATCTAGCCGTATGTTGGGTATGCTATGTATGGTCTCGCAGGAGCAGTAGGCATTATCAACCATTACATATGGCCTCAACTACGCAAACCATTACCATGGCTGTGCTTTGCTGTGCCCTTCTTTAAGAGCAGAGAATTCAACCAATTTGAAGTCCGAGGTAAGAACTTGCAAGAAAGATAGTTTCATATTCTCTTAGACACCGTCTAGCCTCACCCGGCAGCGAATCAGAGAACATTTCGTTAGTTGCTTGTTAAAGTATTTAGTACAAGTTTGTATCCTTCTGAAGAGAGAGGTTAGCATGCGCTGCTACGGTGTTTTCTTTCACCGGGTTCGATTCTCGACTGTGAGTGACGGGCATTGGAATTGAGGTTGCTGGCGCCAACCTTTTATGGCATGTCATACCGTGCACGTGCTGTACGTACCGTACGTTTTCCACTCATACAAAAACCACTCTAAATACAGTAATGATTAGGGACGGAAATATCAATTGACAAACAGTGAAGGTTTTTTCAATTAAGAAACAAGAACGCCTTTTCGAGTCATGAAAAGCTGTCCCATTATAAACCCTGTGTTTTTATTGTTGTTTATTGACAGATGCGGCGAAGATAATGCGGTTTGAAAAGGCGCAGGTTTGGTTGAACTTCATCGAGAGAAACGTTGTCTATCCTGCCGTCTTCTTGAGCGCTTTGACTGAAAATTCCAAAGCTTTGGTCGATAAATTTGGAATTTTGTAAGTATTCTTTGACGTTGTACCCGTCTTATGGACATGACTTGTTTGTGAGAAGCATGAGTGGTGTGCGGTACTCATACGCCGCTTCTCACCGCTGAAGTCATTGGCTCAACCCTTTGACCCGCCAGCACAAATAAGTAGAGTTGCTTGTTGGTTCTCTCCTGCGTCTTGAGGATTTTTCTCCAAGTTCTCCGGTCCCCCCCCCCCCCCCCCCCCCCCCCCCACAACCCGATTATCATATTGGAAAGGTTTGTTAGCCACTGTGCTGAACTCGTAAAACAAGCATCGTTTGAGAATAGCAGCGATTTACTTGATTTATCCAACCGCCGCCCGGTTAGCTCAGTTGGTAAGAGCGTCGTTCTGTTGTTCAGGAAGTCGTGGTTCAAGACCAATACTCACTCAGGGCCTTTAAACAACGAAGGAGAAGGTGCTACCTTTGTAATTATATCTTGTAGTATCTGAAGATAGTTAGACCTTCATGCTGCTCGGATGGCCACGTAAAAGGCGGTCCCGTGCCTAATCAATCAGAGATCATTAAAAGAGGACCACGAGTTTAAAACGTTTATTTATTGATTGGCTGTTTCAGGGTTGGTCCTATTATCATCTGCGTCATTGGTCTCAAGCTTCTTCGTAGCGCATTCTCCGACTCATCTCGCCAACACATGATTCTCATCTTTACTTTACTCTTCTTCAAGTTCGATTTCGGCCGCAGTTCTGAGACCTTGTTAGTGGATTACTTCTTCATGTCGATATTCATGTGTAAGGTATGTCAATACTACACGGCACGGAGCTCACGACACCTGTTGTAGATATCACAACGCGCGACGTTACTACCCATTCAATCAGAAAGCTTATGCGCGCGCGCAATTTTCATAGACGCGGCGCTCTGAATCTGCCCTGTTTAATTAACCTGCCCTGTTTAATTAACCTGCCCTGTTTAATTAACCTGCCCTGTTTAATTAACCTGCCCTGTTTAATTAACCTNCTGCCCTGTTTAATTAACCTGCCCTGTTTAATTAACCTGCCCTGTTTAATTAACCTGCCCTGTTTAATTAACCTGCCCTGTTTAATTAACCTACCATAAAATTTTCACCATCGACTGAAAACTAAAGCCTGGTTCACTCGAGCAACGCAAATGCAAACGCAATCGCAAGCAATATTCACAAATCGATGCAAGTAACTAATAAGATACGCAAGCGCAGTAGTGCTTGTTTACACCAAAAACATTTTTGGTTTTGCGCTTGTACTACTGTTAGTAGTTTACAAGTAGATTTACTCGCGTTGGCGTTTGCGTTAGCGTTTTTAAACACATATATATTCACGCGTTAAAAATGCAAACGCAAATGCAAATGCAAGTGCAAGCACGAGAAAATGAAAAAGTTTCCATTCCTTGCGTTTGCGTTTGTATTTGCATTTGCGTTGATCGTTTGAACCAGGCTTAAGCCTCATATGCATCTTAGAGCAGACTCCATACGAGCTTGGAAACTGCACGGCACACGTGAAATTGAACCAATTGCTCTGTGATTGGATCAATCGAAAAACTCTATACTGCTGCCCTCATAAGGATGCTGTATTGAACTCAACCTCATTTTTATTTCAGTTCTACGAGTTGATTCTCAAGGTCCGTTTTATTGTGACGTACATAGCTCCATGGCAGATCACGTGGGGCTCAGCATTCCACGCCTTTGCGCAACCCTTCAGTGTTCCTCGTATCCTTTTACATTACTATTTGATAGACGTAATTTCCGTTCTTGTTTATTGTATTACTGAATGGCATGTTTCTACTTGGATATTCGGCTACTTGGAGCGGAAGCTAGTGCTAAAAAACTTTTTTTTATCTAACAAAAGCTATTGTCTAGCCAAAGGCTGTTTTACAAAGTACTCTAGATATGTTGGTTTATTTGTTCTTGACTCTGAGCTAGACTCGGCAATGTTATTTTTTCAAGCAATCGTCTCATCCATCTTCTCAGCACCTCTAAATCCTGTATTAGGTAGTGCTATATTTATCACGTCGTATGTTCGTCCGGTCAAGTTCTGGGAGAAAGATTACAAGTAAGTGATGCGTTTGATGCATTGCCATGGAATATTGGTGATGAGGTACTGTCAAGTGTATTGTATGTCTTTTGTATGGTATTTGATGCAGAGCTGCGCACTGTTTATAGTTTGGTTGTATGGTTTGGTGCGATATGTTGTGGTTAGGTGTAGCGCATGTGCACTACGGAGAGATTGCGCTCAAGCAAGCTTAAAATCGTTGGACAGAAACTCGCTAAAAAGCCTATCAAGCCTAAAGGATCTCTTCCTGATTACAAAGCGTTATAAGATAAATAAGAATGGCCTTYACTTTCTTTTTGATATCTCTTTTCGTTACCGAGATATTCAATATAAAAATCACGAAATTATGACGTCAACCCAGGATCCCTGTAAAAGTCAAATCATCAAATAGAGAATATCTCTGTGAGAATTAGCTCAAAATGACTGAACCTTTTGGTGGTTATAGCGCACTATAATATTATTATTTATTTTCGTCTAATAGTAGAGATCGATCCCTTAGTTGTGTTGGGCCGCCTTGAAGTCGTTGCCTGATCAAGCAGTAATATTAAGGGTTTAATAAAATAACACATTTTTTCCACAGTACCAACCGTGTAGACCACTCCAACACAAGACTCTCATCACAGCTGGACAGGAACCCAGGATCCGACGACAACAACCTGAACTCGATCTTCTACGAGCACCTGACACGTTCTCTACAGCACAGCCTGTGTGGGGACCTGATGCTGGGTCGCTGGGGTCCCGTCTCGACTGGAGACTGTTTCGTGTTGGCATCAGACTACCTTAACGCTCTTGTCCACATCATTGAAGTTGGTAACGGATTGGTCACGTTTCAGCTCCGAGGACTCGAGTTCAGGGGTAAGGAATGTTACAATATAGATAGACCTTGTCAGTCTGGGCGTAAATACCCTTGAAATAGGATACATAGGTTACTAGTAGTACGAGGGTAAGGTGCTTGGTGTGTTGCTATAATGAGGGAAAGGTAAGCAACGTAATGTTAACATTAGGTGCTCAGGTGGTATTAAAATCAGGTGCTATCGAAATCGCTTCCATAAATTAATTATATAACGAAGCTAAGTCGCCAAGCGCTTCTGTTGAATGTTAATGTAATAATAACAACAATAATATAATAATATTATTACTATAATAATTCGTTATGTTTCGTTTCTCCAGGTACGTACTGTCAGCAGCGCGAAGTCGAGGCTATTACTGAAGGTGTAGAAGATGATAATGGTGAGTAAGGACAGTTAGATAATATTCATATCGAGTGACGATATCCTTCTTCCTCTCGTCCTATTGGAGTATTTTGGTGAAACGCTTCGCAAATTTTCCTTTAACAAATTGCGAGAAAGCTTCACAACTTCGAGTAACCTTCCATTCCGTGCGTGCCTTATTGTTTTCCCGCCTTTTTCTCAAGGGTGCTGTTGCTGCGAACCCGGTCATCTGCCCAACATGTTGTCCCTAAACGCTGCATTTGGTCAGCGGTGGTTAGCATGGGAAGTGACGTCAACCAAGTACATCATCGAGGGTTACAGCATCAGTGATAACAGTGCTGCTTCGATGCTACAAGTATTTGATTTGAGAAAAATATTGGTCACATATTATGTCAAGGTGAGAATAACATTATAAAATAACTGTTATAAACCTCGCGTTTTGATTGGTTGGGAGCGCAAGGTTTGTGATAGCACACAGCACGCGCGCGCACTTTCAATAAAAGCTATTGCAATTTGTATGTTATAAAAGAAATTAAAAACTTACTTGCTGTGCTGTGTGGAGTTATAAAACACTTGGGGATTGGCACAACACTTAAAAAGTGTCAAGAAGCACTCCGCTACGTGTCGTGCTTCTCCTACCACTTCTCTCGTGTTCTGCCAACCCCCGCATGCTTTATAACTGCACACAGCATTCGCGCTCGTTTTCTATCTCTTCATGGCATCTCGCATGACCGTGGAGAAATGGACCCTTACAGCATGTTCCCATTCAAGCTCTATTTGGAGGATCTTACTCTCATGTGAACCGAAATAGCAGATATTAATTATGGATGTGTGCAAATGAGACAAGCATTTTATCGACCCGATAGCCTCACTTGTATGATTCTAAGAACAAAAGAACATCTCTTGCGGGCTCAACTGAAATAACAGCTATTCGTTGTTTTGTCCTCTGAATTGAGCTTCCCTGCTGCGAATCATGGGAAATTCCTTAGGGAGTGGGGAGGGGGTTGAGCAGAGGGCATATACTCCAGTTTCGAGTCATTAGGTTTTAATTAAACACAAAAATAAAATACATTTTTCTTTCTTTTTTATTGTTACCAGTCTGTCATTTTTTACGCAATGCGATCAAACAAGCTCGATCAGTGGCTTGCTAATGATTCTTTGATCGAAGCGATATCAACGATGCACGACCCTTCGCACGTTGATCTGGACTCGTGTTTCTATAGCAACATCGATGAAGACTATGATCTGAGGCAGGGGGGGATATCGAGAAGTAGTTTCTTGATGTGTTATCTGGAGTGGATACAGTACTGTGGGTCCAGGAGACAACAGGTAAGGAGTGTGGTGGTTATTATGATCCATTATCAATATGTTATTATCAACACGACTACTACCAACATCGTCATCATCTATCATCAACATCAACCATCATCATTATCAAAATCACCATCATCATCATCATTATCATAATCACCATCATTTATTACCAAGACGGCCACTACTCACACTAATAGCTTTGTATCATCATTACCACCTGCATTATTCCCATCATTATTAACATGTTTACCTTTTTTTTATCATCTGTTCTTTGTACAGCCATTGGAAGCAGACAGGGATTCAACGGTGGTCACCCTGTGCTTCGCGCTTTGTCTGTTGGCACGACGGGCACTGGGCACAGCATCCCATCAGCAATCAGCCAGGTAAAGTACATCGTTATTCTTAGTATCCATCCAACTGTAGACGTTTAGGGTGTTGGTCACATAGGGTTCCCGTGCTTGTTTTTCTTTTCTTTTCGGGGGAAAAAACCCACGAAATCGTGGTAAGCCTGTGTTGGTTTGGCTGCGCATGTGAAGAAGGCTGGGTACAAGAGGTCAAAACTCATTGAAACTTTCAAAAAGCTCTAACTCCATCTACCTATGTTTCCTTCCTTCCCACAGTCTAGAGTCATTTCTGTATGGTTTACACGCATTATTCAAAGGAGATTTCCGAATCACGTCTCAGAAGGACGAGTGGGTCTTTGCTGATGTTGATTTCCTCAGAAAAGTCGTGGCACCAGGAGTGCGCATGTCACTAAAACTGCATCAAGTAAGTTGCCATGGGGTATTCTTATTCTCGATCATTCATGCAAGAGCAGTAAGAATCACAGTGCACTGGGGTCTATATTATGTGTGTTGGTGTTCAGGGCATGCACGCATTGACACATCCACTGTCAATGAAATTTCCAAGGATTTGAGTCCAAATTTCTTGATTCACGGAAGCCCAGAATTATTCTCAGAAAATGTATAATGTATATAATTTCTTTCTTTTGTCTCAGGATCATTTCTCATCTATGGATGATTATGATGATCACGCAGATATGTATGAAGCCATTATGAACCATGAACAAAACATGGTGATATCCCACGAGGGGGACCCTGCATGGAGACAGGCTGTTCTGGCCAATACCCCCTCTCTACTAGCTCTAAGGTGAAGCCGTTGATGGGAGTGTTTGTTGTTTCTGAGTTTCACAAACAAGGTGCATTGTGGTCTATCATGGGTACATGGGTATCATGTTTGAACCAAAGCTAGACCACAATGCACTATGTTTATTATCCTAGATATAGCCCATGACAGCGTAGTCACATCTTATATGCAGACGTTAAACCGAGGGCACCGAAAACGCATCGGGAGCTTCGCGTCTACACTACCGTTTTAATAGCGTGTTCACCCGCCCACATCAAAACGATCAAAAATGCAGATACGATCAAAAAAGATGCGCTTGCAATAAACAGACGTGCCGGTGTAAATGACGGCGGTATTCTCAAAAGCCTTCGTTTTCACACACTAATCCACAGGGTTTTTTTCAAATGTATGCCTCGATCGTTATAGTGTGGAAGTAAGGCCAAAACGCATCGAGAAGTATGCGTTTTCAAACGAAAATGCATAAGTGTGGACGGGCTGTTAATGGCGATGTTAATTAAGGGAGAAAGACAGACGCGCTTCCCCTATGTTACCCACGCCAGCTTAACGAACCTTTCTTTGTCGTTCACCATAACACGAGGAGTTCTTGACCTCGAACAAACRTGTAGACCAAGTCGCGCGTTAGTACAGTAGCTTATGCATTTCCTCCATTTCCGTTCCAGACACGTGTTCGATGATGGAGCTGATGAATACAAAATTATTATGCTGAACAAACGATATCTAAGCTTTAGAGTAATCAAGGTATGTTAACGGTCATACAGTAAAAACGTCCGCGTTTCTTTCGTGCGCAAAAACTTCCCTCTGATCACTTTTAAGAATTAATTTAGACTTCAAATGACCTCTATTTTTTCACTATTTTCTCTAGGTTAATCGCGAATGTGTGCGAGGTCTATGGGCAGGTCAACTGCAAGAACTCATTTTCTTACGTAATCGTAATCCAGAGCGAGGCTCTATCCAGAATGCAAAGCAAGCCTTGCGTAACATCATCAATTCATCATGTGATCAACCAATTGGATACCCCATATATGTTTCACCGCTGACAACTTCGTATGTAGACTCGAACGCTCAACTGTCAAGCGTGATTGGTGGACCAATGAGCTTCAATGGTATAACAAGGTTCGCGGGTAGATTAATAAATCGTTTCCGCACCCGTTGTGGTGCATCTTGCCACAGTGGTGGTGAACCCTCAGAAGACGTCCCCGAAGTTTCGACAACATCTGTGGTCTACACAGAACGCTTTAGTAGTTTTCGGGAAGGATCTCGTTCGAGTGCTTTAAGGACCAGCAGTGGGAGGCTCCCTCGGACAAACTTCAACTCACTCCCTGTAGGATTTCGATCCAGCACACGCTCAGGGGCATCACAAATGTCCGTCTCTAAGAGACCTAGCGCTGCAGTTAATGTAACTCAGCCTACGTCCCAACCTCAGTCGCAAAGCTCTACAAACGTTCCTACTGAGGGACTTAATCAAATGGTACGAATAATAGACCTTGGGCAAGTGTACGACACTATTAATCTTGGAAGACGAATTGACGTGCAGTGGCCTTCAGAATACATGAGGGAAAGGGGAGGGAAAAACTACTGGAAAGACTGGCGTCCTACRGAAGGAATGGAAGGAGTGGTCATCCATAGATGGCAGCCCAGTCATYGGGATATCATGCAACGAAGTCATGTTGATAGGACTATTTTGTTGGTGAAAATTGACGACAAATTTGTTCCGATTGCTGACGCTGGAGTAACTGAAATTGGTTATGAAGTTTAAAACAGATAAATAACCACTTCTTATTTCTCTGTGCTGTGTAYGTCAAGCATTTAAAATGGAGCCGCAATTCTTCACTCATGTTATTTTTGTTTAATAGCTATAAATAAATTGTTCTAGAATCAAAAATTCCAAAATCATTATTAACTGAAAAAGAATACATTGCAGCAATTCCTAATATTTTCTACTTAGAAACCAGAAATGTCGAAAGCATGGACATGTTGTATGATATTGGCATCCAGGAATAGAATGTGGATTGATAAATATTGAAAACCTGTCATTTTTTCTGTAAGCAATTGACTTTTTGCTTGAGTGACTCTGAAGCAATGGCTTCAAGTTGAGATTATACTTGATAAAATAATACAGTAAATGTATGAACACATCAAATCCAACCTTGACTTGTAGCCATAGTTTTGATACTCAATAACATAATTTTTTATGATTTTTAAAAGGACTGTTTTGGATTTTTGTTAACACTGGTCTTCTTTCACTTACATTCTCACTTTTAATGACAAGCTACAACATGCTTACTGCAATTTTCAAAAACGAGCGAACTCTGTGTCTGCTGGCTGCACGCTGAATTTTTTTTTTTGCTGCTGTCAATCAAACCTAATCAGTTGGTACCTTTCATATTTTTTACTGGTGGTAGCGAAAAACAGATTTCAGTGCGTAACTCGGGGACATTTATGAAACAAGTGAATAATTGAATTTCATTCAAAACTTATTGAAACAAATATCTTTTTGCCAGTTTTTTCCAGCCGGTTTGGAATCATTCRTTGCAGATAGCTGGGCAAGGATTCACTAGTTGATATTTTAATGACGAAATAATTCATTGTATTGTAGAAATCGACACTTGTACAGGGTGGATATCACCAAATATTGCATGCCTAGCACCAAATAATACATGTATAAAAATGTTGAATGTAAAAAAAAAACAATTAAATATGTTATAACAAGTTCACACAAAATGCCTTCAACTGCAAAAATTTATGGATTTGTCCAATACTTAGCATTGAGGAGATTAGTTTTCTATGCAGCTGCTTTTAGTGTTGCCTCACAATCCTCTCTCCATAATTTGAGAGAGGACACAAATAGTGGTTGGCAGGAGGCTAAGGAGATAGAAAGATGCTTTCATGTATTGTTTACAACTTTGAATTTTCTTTCTTTTCTTCCTAGTTTCTTTCTTTGCCTTTCCTCTTTTTTCTCCTAACACTCAAATGTTATAAACTCTTCCAAAATTCAGATTTTATTATCAATTCTTTCTATTTCATAACTTACAGACAATTCAAATACTGTTTTATGAACTATAATTATGTACAAGTTTTACAATGGAATGTAAGTGTTCATTCTGTTGAACTCTAAGGACTATGTATGTATGGATTCTTGTRCTTTATGTCAATAACACAGAAACAGCCATATACTTGTAATTCTCCTCACCAGCTATTTTGGTAGAGTTCATTGTTGGATGTGCATATTAACGATTCTTTATCTTTGGAGGTGGTTACATACAGTGGCAACACCATCTGATTCTCTTGACCAGTTTTTTGTTCAATGGTACTGTTTTCCTGTCTAATGTTTAAAAATTAGATATGACCAACCATACGCCAGCTATTCTCTTCACCAGCTATTCTCTTCACCAGCTATTCTCTTCACCAGCTATTCTCCTCACCAGCTATTCTCCTCACCAGCTATTCTCCCCACCAGCTATTCTCCTCACCAGCTATTCTCCCCACTAGCTATCCCCCTCACCAGCTATTCTCCCCACCAGCTATTCTCTTCACCAGCTATTCTCCTCACCAGCTATTCTCCTCA